CGGTTTTTTTAGCAAATTAATTAATAATTAATTAATTATAATTAAAAAAATATTTACAATTAATTAATATTAACTTTAATTAAAATTCATTATAATTAATTAAAATTAATTATAATAATTTAATTAAAATTAACTGTAATTAATTATAATAACATAATTAATCAAAATAATTATAGTTAAAATTAATTATAATTAAAAGCATTTAATCCCTCTCCCTAACTCCCTCTCTCTATAATCTGGCATGCTCACGGGATTAGGCCGAAATAGAGCTAGAAAGGGAGAAGTTACCTTCAAGCCAGCGATCTCCTGTTCTGGCTTCCGATCTAAACGTCTAACTTCTGATCCGTCTAGGGGAGCCGAAGAAGCGAGGCAGAGGAGCTTGGATAGAGCTCGGTCGACAGGGGAAGGAGGTCGGGCGACCAGACTTGAGCAGGTGAGGTCGGCAATGGGAGCTGAGGTTCGGTCGGGTAAGCAAATCCTCTCTCTCTCTCTCTGTTTTTTTTTTCTTTCTCTGGATCGTGAGAATCAGATGGGGGTCGGAAGAGGAGAAGTGGCCGACTGGAGGATTTTTCGTGTGGAGATCGGAGGAGGGAGATCGTGAAGGGAGCAGAGGTAGGAGGAGTTACGGGAGGGAGCAGCCGAAGAGGAGGGGTTCGGTTTCGTTTTAATGGCACGAATGGGGCTCGATCGAGAAAAGGATCGCAGATTTTGCGCAAGATTTCCGGAACGGCGCCGACTGCACACCGATTCAGCGGGATTTCGGGGATGCCTTCGACAGATACGAGGTTTCCGGGATTTCTGGCGGGATTTCGGGCAGAATTTCGGGGAATCCGGCAGAGGTATGTTGTGTTATATTTTTTTGTTCTCTTTTGGGTTTGATCCGGAGGTCAACAAGTAGTCATTAAGTCTAAGTCATTTCCAAGATAGCAAGGTCATTTCCAAGATAGCAAGGGTTTTCCATGATAGTGTATGAGTGCATGCAGGTAATTTCCTAGTGGGCCTAAGCATGGAGCCATGGAGCAAGAGGTGGCCAGCCCCTCCTCTCTCTCCCCTTTCTCTCTCATTTTAAGTTTGAATGAAGTGTTTTTGTTCTTCATTATAATACAGTTGTATAAGTACTCCTTCACATTGAAATGAAATGGTTATTTTGTTATGTTTAAATGTTTTGGAGTGAATTCCAAAGAGGCTAGAAGACTTGGTGGCCGACCATACTCAAGGAAATTGGGTGATTTCCTTGGAACTCCGCTTAGGTGATTAATTTTTTTTTTTAAATTTTTTGCACTTTCCTTAACTGTAATTTTCTTTATTTGTATTCTTCTTTAGTATTACAATTTAGAAAAATCTTAAATCCCATTCCATCCCTCTTAATCCAAGTAAAAGTACTCATAGTTAGTATTGGCTAGGTTTTTTAGAATTGCTAGACCAATTCTATTCTTGAAAGCATTTGACCAAACTAAACTATTCAAAATCCCACCAAAATCTCATGATCATTGTTAAACATTCTATACCGTAATAATTCTAAATAAATTTAGGATTATTCTTGTCAAAATTTTAGAGATCCATTCAACCCTAAGTTTTAGCCAATATTACTTCGAGAGCATAATTGACACAATTGACTCACTCAACCTTTTTTTATCCTTAACAAACTCTCCAAAAATAAAGTAGACATCTACATCTACAAATCAAGTACATATTTACTTTATTTTGACATATATATAGGGAGAACCATTAGGAAGAAAATTGAATGTATGTTCTAGATTGATTACATGAATTGTAACTTACCATACCTCCATCTTCAAATTAACTCTTTCAAACTAACCTTATCTCTTTTAATTATTTTAGAAGAGTCGTCCATCTACTAATTGATCACACCATCCCACATCAAAGTTGAAATGATAAGGATCTTTAAGACTAATATGTGAAAACAAGTTTCTTATTAGGATCGGGCACTCCAGTACAACATGATTGAACTAAATATATTGAAACATTAAAAAATAAAATGTGAAAATTAATTAATTTGCACTTATTATGTTCCCATAGGTAGTTAACTAGTTGTTATTTTCACTAAAGAGCATTGAAATACTACATTCAAAATATTTCGGGGAAAAGGTTGACTGACCTTTAACCCCATTGGAATGAAGTAGCTCAAGTCATAGATGAAATTTCAAAATGGATTCATACATCTCAATTGTATGCCATTGGTTCTTAAACTTCAGAGGATGTCTCTTAAGGTTAAGGTTGACGAATCTTTGACCCCGTTGGAATGAAGTAGCTCAATTTATAGATGAAATTTCAAAATTGATTTATGCATCTCAATTGGATGCTATAGTTTATTGAACTTCAAATGTTGTCTCTTATGATTCTACTTGAGAGATTATCAAAGATGTTGGATGCTACTTTTCCTAAAAGGGAACATATTAAAACTAATAATATAAGAAAATGGAGTAAATCAAGAAGCTTTTACCTTGCTGATGGAGATATGCAAGTTTACTTTCATCTAAAATGCCGACTAAATAAGTTGAACAATGCTTAGTTTTGTTTCCTTATTTCATAGTATTTAAATTTTAGTTTTATTTTTTAAACTATGCTAGTGATCATATGGCCAATGAGAATGAGACACGCCCTTTATGTTTTGATATAGTTTTGTCTTATTTTGTTCAACATTGTAATTGATTAATTGTGCTTTTAGGGCAGTCCTATGGTTGTTGTTATTGGTTGAGGCTAATTCTATTGGCTAAAACATTTTTTGGTTCTTTGGAGCATTATTGATTCCCTATTATGTGCCAGTTGCGACTTGGTTTACAATGGTTTATAATGCAATGTTGGTGATGGTTCTCAAGTTTGAGGGAGTTTTTAGGGTGCGACGGATATGCCATTTTCAATTGTCTTTTCTATGCCTTATTCTTGTTGTGAGGTACTCGTTCCTTTTTTGTCGTTTCCCTATTTATTCACCTATCTTTTTCTACATAAACTGGTAGACTGACTCTCTACATGAATTCAATGATGGGTTGCTTTGATTTTGGAACATAATACAACTTATCTAGATTTTCCTTGTATTAACATGGGGCCTAGATTTTCTTTACTTGGTGCACTCTTTTCTTTTCCTATCAAATAATTTAATATTGGGTTTTACAGTGTGATTGATTATAGTCAAATCCCTTGGATTTTTTTTTTTGCTTTGTGAATTTTAATCGGCTTTTGATTTTTGAATGTTTTAATTTCTCAATGAATTTTTTTATTAGATCAATCATGAAATTATCATTTGACATGTATTCTTCGTATTTTCTCGATTGTATGATAAGTTAACAAATAATTGTTTAAATGTTGGCCTTTTAAACTGCGAACATCCAATTATATTGCATTATTTAGTTGCGTTAGGAGAGTAAAATATGGAGTCTGGCATATATAAAGTTGTTCCTTTGCTTATGCTGCTATAGTTATGATTGTCATTTAAATCAAAATCAATGAGCAATTGAACTCTTAATTAGGGAGCATTTTAGCAATAGCAGCTGTCATCACTAAGTAGGTGAAGGCTGTGGAACGTCTCTGTTTTAGAGACATTTTTCGCCATAAATAATGTCATCTTGCATGTCAAATTGTGTTCTGGCGGCATTGCAGATCTGGCCAAAGGTTGTGAGTTTGAATTGTAATCAAGAAGATTTTGTAACTTCTTGTAACAATGCCTATATATATTGGCTGCACTAATGAGAAAGGGTGAAGGAAATTACTATCGAAATCAGCTTTATTCTCTATTATTTTCCTGTTATGTTTTCACTGCAAAAGCCATTCTACATGGTATCAGAGCATTGATTCGTTATTCTCCCAATTTTTTTTTTCGATTCTTCCTAAGGCACCAATCTACAATGATGTCATCTACAAATCAATCTGATGCTGTCAGCCTTGCAGCTTCAACTAATCCTCCTTAAATTCTTTCATCGCTCAAATTCTTGATGAATAATATCAAGAATGTCATCTTTCAACCCCTTACAGCTGACAATCACTCGCTGTGGCGATCACAAGTTCTCAAATAATTTTGAGCGAATGGGGCTGAAGGATTCTTGGATGGATCCAATGCTTGCCCATCACGATCCATCAACAATGACACTGGTCAGCTTATACCCAATCCAAACTACATAAATTTTATCTTATTGGTTCAGAATCTTACAACGACATTATATTCAATCATATCTCCTACCCTTCTTCCTTATGTTCCCTCGGTTGAATATTGTACTGATATCTGGATCACCCTCAATCGTCGGCTTCAGTCCAGTACTCGGTCAAGGATCATACAACTTAAAAACGAGTTGCATTACTTGTCCATGAAAGATCAATCCATGACTCAATATCTTCTTGATGTCAAAGCCAAAGTAGATTGGTTAGCCTACTGGAGCCCCAATTGATGTTGAAGATGTGATTCATTATACATTAAATGGCCTTCCACCTACAAATCAAGCATTTAAAATGACAATTCGAACAAACCTTTAGCCCTTGAGTTTGGATGACCTATACACTGTTTTATGCAGTGAAGAACTCAATCTTGCACATGAAGCTACTTGAGAACTTCAATCGCTTCAACTATCCGGCAACACTATGGCTCTTACCACTACTCGCGGACGTGGTCGAGGTAGAACAAATTAGTCTCGTGGATGCTCTTCTTACAATAATCATCAACATCGGAACTCTTCGGCTACATATCGTGGAGGAAAATCCTCACGACCTTCGGCTGCTTGTCAAATTTGCGGTAAATTTGGCCATTCCGCAGTTAAATGTTGGCATCGTCATGACGATCAATACAACACAGAACAACCTAGTATTGGTTTATTCACTTCTCCTTTGCCAAATGCCACAACTGATTTGTATCTTGATAGTGGAGCCTCAATGCATTTAACTTCAGATCCTAATCAATTACAAACATCTCAAGTTTACATTGGGCCAAATCAAGTTATTCTGGGCAATGGATAACAACTACACATACATAATACGAGCAAAGGTATTCTTCCTACTCCCACAGGTTGCCTTCAACTATCTCATCTAAATCTTGTTCCTAATCTTTCCTTCAATTTATTATCAGTTCATCAGCTTACTACTGATAATAATTGCCTCATAATATTTTCATCCAATGGCTATGTAACACATATCAGAAGATGCGTCGACTTCTTCTCATGGGTCAGTGTATTAATGGTCTTTATCCATTCCATGCCAAATTATCCAAGGGGTCTCATACATCTCAGCTTGCTCTCATATCCATACAAGCTGTTTCGGATCTATGGCACCGCCGACTTGTTCATCCCTCCTCTCAAACTTTGTCTGGTCTAGCCAAGCATCATACATATATTTGTATTCTTCTACTGCCTCTATGTGTAATGCTTGTCGGATGGCTAAGAGTCACCGATTACTTTTTGTTATTTCTTGAAGTTGTAGCACTTCTCCTTTTTCTTTAGTTCATTCTGATGTTCTGGGGTCTTCCCCCTCTATCTCCACTCAAGGATATCGATATTATGTATCGTTTATTGTTGATTTTTTCAAATATACTTGGTTTTATCCTTTAACTCAAAAATTTGAAGTCATTCATAAATTTCTTGATTTCAAAAGAATGATAGAATGTCAATTTCATATCATAATTCACATTCTTCGCATAGATGGGGGTGGAGAATTTGTTAATAACAAATTCACCACTTTACTGAAGCATAATCGTATCATCCATCAATTTACTTGCCCCTATTCTCCACCTTAGAATGGAGTGGCGGAATGCAAACATCGTCACCTAGCATAAACCATTTGAGCGCTTCTTATTGAAGCATCTCTTCCTCAATATCTTTGGGTGGATACTCTTATAACTACAGCCTACTTGATAAATCATCTACCTTCCTCAAATACAAACAATGAATTACCACATGATGCGCGCCCAAAGTAAACACAATCAATATAAATCAACCTAAACTAAAGTAAAGACAGTCCACGACAAGTGCCGTATAAGTACAATCCATGGTCTGCAAAAAAGTAATGGTGGTCAGGCCACACTAACAACAACCTGGATTCTAATCCCATTGAATGACACAAATCTTAAAAGAAAGGCATTTCATCTTTAAGTCTTCATCTACAGATGGATCGTCTTCCTCCGATTCACCTCCTTTGGATTGTCTTCCTTTGGGCTTCCTATGATTCGTCCTCCAGAAAGAGTACCCAAATGAATAAGAAATTCGTTATTAAGGATTTTTCTTTTTCTCTTTGGGTACCAAGTATTTGAAATGTCTCACTTTTAAAAGACTTTCACAACTCGATAATAATTATATCAAATTACATTTAAAAAAGAAAATCTAGACTCAAACTTCTGCATGGTTATCCTAGGAAAAACATCCCAAGCAGTTTATATATAACAACCCAAGCAGTTTATATAACACAATCCAAGCAGTTTATTTATGGAAGTAAAACACATTGCCAATCATACTTGGTTATACTCTTTTAACTTGGGGAGGGGGCTTTAACAATTTCTGGAGTACCTGTAGAAAATGCCATTAGTTTTAAAGCTTAATTATTATTGCCCCCTCTATTAGCGCTACACCAGCATGTCCTCCTACATAAGACATCGTTAGTATCAAAAGCGCCCTTAGCCCATGGGTAATCTAACACACAAATCACATCACAAGCAAATTATAGAAAGCATAATAATGAGATAAACAATCATCACAACAAACCAGAGCAATCATAGAACATCACAACACATAAAGCATAAAAAGAAAGTAAAACACCAACCCTAATCCTAGAGTTAGAAGTGGTGTCCTATCAAATCTATGTTTGTGTAGTAGGCCTCTGTGGCTTTGGATGGTTCTTATGTCAGGTAGTTAGTTCAAATTGTCTAGAGTTCAAATTTGTTGAAGGTTAGAAAATTAAACTTTTCATTATAGTTTAAATATTAATGGATTGAGGTTCATTTTAGTTAATTTAGTTTGTTGATCCCTTTTAATACTTAGGATAATAATCTGGGAAGTTTAAATTGCATTAACAAATTTTAGAAGGTCATGGATACTCCTATGTGCTAGGTTAATGGGGTCCAAAAGGCCACTATTGAAAATGGGTTACGTTTGGAGGTTCAAGCATTTTAATTAAATATTAGGTCTTAAGAGGAGTAGTTAGGCTTTTAGTTTGCTGAATTTGGAGTTTTATAGGCCAAGTTATGAATTTTAGAAGTTTCGAGCAATTATCGAATTATCGAAATTATTAATAAAATGTATTTTAGGGGTTTTGATCCAAATCAGTTCTAAACTGATTGGAATCATTACCAAAGGTCAGAAATGTTCTAAAGAGGTGTTCTAAAGTGTTTGAGAAAAATTTGGAATTTTTAATAATTTAATTAAGGCAAAAGAGTAAATTTTAATTAAAGTTAAATTAAGGTTTATATTAAAGTCCAATTAATGGACCCTAATTATCTAAGGTTAAAGATCAAATTCTAAAGAGTTTGAGGTATTACAGGTAATTTTCTGAGTTGAAATAAATTTATTAGAATTTTTTGAAGCAATCGGGGCTTAATTAACGAGTAAATTATGATTTTTTAATTAAGGAAGGGTCTTAAAAATTTCTAGAACATTTTGGGAGGTTTAGGATGTCACTAAGTTCAAGTGTTCAGAGTTTCATGTCAATCAGAGATCTATCCTAGCTCCTATAATTTTTTTAAGTTTGCTAGACGGTTCTTTAATTATTGTCCTTAGAGAGTCACTACGTTAAGAGGGTTTTAAAATCAAAGTCAATGACTAACCCTTGAGGTAACATGCAATGAATGCATAAAAATAGTAAACATACCAATCCTAAAATCTAGGAGGGCCTAGGCTAGGTGTTCGTGCGTCCTACACATGCAAAAGACGACAAAAACAGTAGTTAAACATGGTTTACGATGCGATTAATAGATGATTAGAGCCCAATCACCCACTAATCTATCCCCCCATAAAGGATATTCATAAGTATAACCCATGTTTAAAATTTCAAAATATAGATCTCTCAAAATTAATGGATTTAATAATATGTATAATTTAAAAATAATTTAAAATACACATTTTCAATGTATAA